TCACAGGTACAAAGGAGTTGTGCATAATGAAGAGCTAGAAATCCAGCCAAAAATTAAGCCTATTGATAACACTTAACGTCATGCTATTCTGCTTCATAATGAATAGCAATCAGACACTAGCCAAGATTTTCAAAAGTGTTTGGGGTGCCACAATTTTAAGATTCTTCACCTGACACCTTAAAGGGGCCTGATTTTCAGAGAATGGATTATGTACACTTTCTGATAATTGGGCCTTTTTAGGGTGCCTCAGTTTGGGCACCCAAAATCACTAGTCACTTCTGAAAATCTTGGCAACAGTCTCCAAGATTCACAAGGAAGGACATACAGCCGTGGGCCAAGTGTCTAAGACAAACGGCTGAGCAAGGAACAAAGGAGAATATGTTCTCGTTGAGGATGTGGTTAAACCTTTTTGGCAACTGTAAATGAGCTCCTACTGCTCGAGATTCATTTCTGTAGTTCCGTGTATCTGCTGGCAGAGAGGGATGTTAAGAATCTTTTGTTGAAACCTGAGAGTGCACAACCTAACGTGTGCTGGGCTTGCTAGTGAATATCCACCTTTGTTCAAGACTGTATTATGCAGAAATTGTACATAATGTTATGTATTGTCACTGAGACAATTGTTTAAATGCTGTCTTTGTGTTTACTCATTTTATCTCCCTCTTGGAATCTGAAGCCTCTTGCCTACCTTGAAGTTGTGATAATCCCAAGCATGTTGTGAGCAGAAATCCAAAACAAATCTAACCTTTTTCCATAATAATCTCAAAACATGGACATATGTCTATGCATCTCCAAAGCAAATAAGCAAAAAGCTAACTGCCAGCTTGTCAAACGGTCACTAACATTAATACATCCATAGCCTGCTGCCGGGAAGGAGTGAGTGAAATAAAAGTTGGAACTACTGAGCAAGACAGAAAATAACAAAAAGAGGGATAATGAAACTTGCCTTTTCTTTGTAAAGCACTTTGAGATCTACTAATGAAAAGCACCAGATAATAATATAATAATTCCTAGCTCTTACTGCTTTGACTTGTATCAACAAAATACTCCAGACATGGAAATTGAAAATAATGTCATTTAATTAGTTTGGACCATGGGTATTTTCATGCTGAATCAGACCAGTGGTGGCTCTAGCAGTGTCCTGTCTCTGACGCTTCAGAGGAATATGCAAGAAGCCCTGCACTTATGGAATAACCAGCCCACATGGGTAGTTTGTTTCTATCTCCCAGTAGGTAGAGGTGCCCAAAAGCATGATTTAAAGATAACTAAGAACAGAACAATGCGGTCATATTAAACTTGTGGAATAAAAAGGTGTATTCATTATCCATAGAGGGATGTGAGTGCATGCAGACAACTCCTCCCCACCACTGAGAATAACAGAGCCTCTTTTTAAAATTGAAGAAAAATATATTGTAGATGTCAAAGTTCTCCTCTTATCCTCTGGCCCTAATTCAGGAAAGCATTGAGCATGAGTTGAAAGTTAAGCACGTGCTTAAATGCTTTGCTAGAAAGGGCCCTCAAAGTGTATGGTTTATTAGTTTCCAAATATGTGATCACTGCCTATACACCACTACTTAAGTTAGCATGGCAATAATGAATGAGGAAAGGCAGCCATGTATCACTGTGCACTTTTATTAAGAATGCATCGATGAATTTTGTCTTCAATTTAGGGTGCAGTATAAAGTAAGTGGCAGGGGGGGGAGAGTTTAGACTATAAATTGTGAGGGAAAATTGAGCATACATGAAACGTCTCAATGTGGCAAAATATTCCGAAGATCAATCATCATTATAACTACTATGAATTTAGAACCAAATTCCGCTCTCTTTTAGACTCTCATGTAAATCTGGAATAATTCCACATAAGTAACTGCTTTAGAGTGGCAGAACAAAGCAAAACTTTGTTCCTGATGTTCAATGTTTGTCTTAACTCTTGATTTACTAGTAGCTTACTAAGATGACAGCAAAAGCAAGAAGTGTTTACTTTCTGTTATTTTGTATATAAGCTGTTTATTCATTTGAGATTGATTATAAGCTTAATTATCTTATTAAGTATATGATATGGGTTTTACAGTTTGGTACCTATATGTACTAAACTGGAATTATGTTGCAAAATTTTGAATATCTCTTAAAAGCATCCAGAAGGCTGGGTCCAGCAGAAATTATCCAGAGCCTGCACAGAGATGGGTTTGACTGACTTGTGTAAAGGAGCAAGAGAACTATTTTCCTCAGAACTCCTTCTGTGGAGGTGATGGGACATGATGACAGCCCCACCATGCTTTTCCACAGGAGGAGATATCTTACATGGAAAAGTTGAACTGTGCAGTAGTTTCAATGCATTCTCTATGGGGAAGAGTTTGTGAAGTGACAAGAAGAAAGGTCCTCTATAGATCTTCCAAGTTTGGTAGTGAAATCTATGAATCTTGAGACACCTGTGATGACACTCAGTCCTTCTTCCCACTAAAGCAAATAGCAGCATAATTTTTGAGTGATCAGTGACAACCCAGCAGCGGTTGTGCCTTATGGTCCATTCTCAGGAGAGTAGGAGCCCCTGCCATTATGAATTTTCTAATAGAAACTCTCCAAGTTTCAGAGTGGACAGGTGCCCCTGAAAGAAGCTGCCCCTTGTCCCTTCTCACCCAGAAAACTCATAAAATGCCAATGGGAGGTGTTGATGCAGAGAGACTTTCAGGAAAAGGGGAAAAGAAACAATGCATTTTAGGATGTGCTTCCCCCAC